TGTTGATTTATGTTTTATTTTATGAATTTTGTGCGTTCTTTTGTGAATTATGCGATTTTTTGTGAATTGTGCGATCGGATGCAATTTAAGGTCGATTGTGCGAAATCGCACCATCGCTTAATATCAGAAGGCCTGCAGATTACAGCAGACTGCAGCTAGTTTCAACCTCGATTTACATTTTCTGATAATTTTTGGTATTGGAGAAAGCCAATAATTTTATTAATAATTATTGTCAGTTGTTTATGGCTATAATAATATACATGAAAAAAATTACTCGATTCTGATTGGCTGAGAGCAATGCAGTTCAAGTGTAACACCAGTCTGAGAGCAAAACGTGTAACACCAGTGCAAATTATGCATTGTAATTCTAGATTATGATTGGCTGAAAGACAATAGGAAATTTTCTAAGCCAATGATGTCACGTAAAATGATGACGAAAATTTTGTGCAGAAACTTTGAAAGAAGTGTTCTCTAATGAGAAAAAATGGCTTCAAGAAAGATCTTTTGCCACTGCTTCCACACAAATTTTTTCATGTTTATATTAATAATAAGTAATCATATGGTTTTTCTCATTCAATTTGGAATTAATTTGCACTTGTGAGTTTTTTGAAAAGCTGAAATTGCACTTGCTGAAGCAGCTCGTGCAATTTCAGCTCTTTGAAAAACTCACTTATGCAAATTAATTCCAAACTCGAAACCATAAGATTAACTACATGTATACTTAGTGTTTGTTGTTATTATTATTACCCACCTAATGCTAGAACACACCTATACTGTCCACTAAGAACCAGCAATCTGGCAAGCATGAGGGCAGATGACGCAGACGAGCAATTGTTGTTTGTATTGAACACAGGCACCCCAGTAAGACCAAGCTCTGAAGTGAAAAAATTACAGTGACAAGATTCCTATGAGTATGTCATCTAACTTACAAAAACTTACAAGACTCTCTGAACATCTTGAAAGACCTACCAAAGACTCACCAAAATCATGTAAGGATAATGACAAGTCATACACAAAATCTCCATCCATGTTAAATAAGATTTAAATACAGTCTTGCATTGGTGGTAAGTCTGTACATCAAATTCTGAAAGCTTATCCAAGGCCTCTCCCTCACTCTCTCTCTCTCTCTCTCTCTCTCTCTCTCTCTATCAA